ATTCATGCTTTCAGAGAGTTACTGGAAAATGCAAAACTGCTATTTAGAGTCATAAGATTTACTTTAGACCATTTACATTTATTTTGCTGCTCAATAATGTGCAACACATGTCCAAATAATATCCAAGCTCCTCCTTTAGCAGATTGCTCTTAATGCCCCCAACTTTCAGCACCCCCTTTTCTGTGAACTCTCCCAACATAAAATCTGCATCGAGAGAAAAAACACAAAATACACAACAGCTTTTCTTGTTATCAGGGAAGCAGACCGTTTGAAGGAGCCAAGACAGCAAACTTAACAATTGTAATGCTCCAGCTGAGAAACCTAATTTACCAATTTGCAGGAAGACAAGATGGCAGGAAACAAGCCAATTTGCCACGTGTGCAGCGCACAGCGAACCGCAGGCTCGCTCCCTGGCCTCATGAGAGGTAATTATCCCTAAAAAAGAATGCCAAGCCGTATTAAGATGTGGCCGCATCAAAACGAGGGAGACAGCCTCATTACAAGTAATTATGAGGGAATTAGAAACATCATTTAACTAAACGAGCAAATAATGTCCAGGATATTGAAGAAGCTGCCTGCACTTCTGCCGACCACTGCAAGTCCCATTACAAAAATTGTAGGTCTTTAATAGAATAATGACATGCTTTATCTTCCCTGATTCCCTCTGAGGGGTTTAGAAGCAGAGGGGATGGACCGAGGGGGGCTGGAGGGTTGGTAAAACAACTGTTGCAGAGCTCTCTGTCTCGGTGGTCTCACGCTTGAGTGTGTAGTGTGAGGCCTTCAAGATAACCCCCCACTCTCTGCCAGCCCCCCCATTATTCCTACAAATACAAAAATGGAGAGCAGAAAATTGTATGTCACAGCCATTATTGTGTCAAAGGTAATGCTAATGGACTTATCTCCAGAGTAATGGCTGCATTTTCTACACATACTGTAGAAAATGTAATAGTCTGATGCATATTGTGCTGGGAGAGGAGCACTTCAAACAGACAGTTCAAGAAATGGTCTGTAATTTAACAATGAAGTGTGATTCAGTTTGCCAATGAAGGTCTGATCCATGTCTTTGGTTAAACATTGTTTTTGAGGATTTTAACTTGGAGACTGGAAGTTTTTTTTTTTTTTCATTCAGTTTAAAAGAGGACCAATTTTCTGTGTTTATGCGAATTGCTAGCTGCAAATGCGTCTGCATCTAAGTTGTCAATCACATTAAGAATTTAAGCAAGTTAGATTTAGCTCAAGATACCAAATTGAAAAAGAAAATGGATATATGATCAATGCTGTAAAAAGCATTTTTCCTCTCACAGATTTATTTTGTTGTTTTTTGTGTTATGATTATAAGTCATTAAATGTATTTTGATGTCTCATAAGGACAACTTGAGTAAAAACAATAGGCAACATTAAAATAATTATCTGATATATGGCGGGGGGGGGCTATATATCAGGGAATATATAGCCCTGATATATATTGGTGGGCTATGGATGGATGGATGGATGGACGGACGGACGGATAAAAATGAACCTTTTAACCATCTAGCCATTGTCTGGAGGGAACAATGGGAAATCTTCCCAGGAAAGTAAAACCTACCATTTTTTAAAGCACACATCTGGATGCCTCACTTGCTGTTTTGCCAACTAATATCTTGATCTGAGAGACTTTTGAAAAAATTCTGCAGACTGAAAAAACAAAAGTGGAACTTTTTTGGTTCCCGAAAACCTGGTGTGAAGTTGAAACAGCATTTTATGAAAACACTGATAGCTAAACCAAGTGTTGGTATTATGATTGTCTGAGGTTGCTTTGTGTAATTAACTGGACATCTTCTTGGTATTGACGTAAGCAAAATTTCTACTCTAACTGAAAACCGTAACAGCGACTGTTCACCCATCAGTTCAGGACTTTAAATTCAAGCAAACTGAGGTTTTGCAGCAGTGTAGTCCTCAAAGCAGACCAGAAAGTCCAACTGATAATGGCTCACGAATAAATTGTATTGGAGAGGCCTAGTCAAAGTCTGGATAGAAATCTAATTGAGTGGCTGTGCCAACCAGAGGGTTTATGGTGATAAAACCCTCCATGTGGTTGAATTTTGGAAAATTCTTCTTCAGAGATGTAAAAGACAAATTTTTTAGTCACAGCAAACTTTAATTGTTAGAACAACCATTTATTTTGTTTAGAGTGAAAATTTGTGATTTACAGGGATCAACAGTCTGGTTGTCTCTTGATTAATAAATGTATCTTCTGAAAACTACATTTTGTATTTATGATTTGTTATCTCTGACAATAAAATGTTAATTTGTAATAATGTCAGGATGATAAAAATACAAAAGCTGACAAAATATGCAAGGAGCAAATACTTTTTCAATAGCACTGTGACTACTTCCCTTACATTATTAGTAATGTTTTTGACATTCTTAAATGATTTCTAATAAATAAGTCTATATGTTTCGTTTACCATTCGGCCTGTCAGCAGAGTCTCTCTCTGTCAGGAGAAAAGGGGCTTTCTGTCAGGGAGGGGGTTGGTGGGCAAACACAATTTCCCTTCAGCTCCTTCATTTCCAGTTGATATAAAACAGAATCATAAAAAATCGCTCCTGCTTCGAGCTCTCCTTTTTAACCATTAACCCATAAATACAGTGGCTGGTTAAAGCCGGGCGGATGACAGGGCCTGCCTTCAAAAACCTCGTTATGCTCCTCTCAAATTCATTTAGGGAGCAAAACAGGTCTTGAGAGTTGCCTGGCTTAATGCATTGCGATCGCTTTTAAAACTCGTGTCTGCCTCTATTTCTGGTGTTATGTCCCTTTATTCTTTCATTTATGAATCAAATGTCTGCAAACAAGTTGCGAGCGAGCTGAAAGGCCCTCAAGTCCAGCAAATGGTGAAAGGACGGGATTTGCATAAAAGAAAAATCTTGAGGCGGGTTGGATAATATTGTTGCTAGTCTGTTTAAACTCAATAATCCTGATTAAGTTAGATTAGATCTTATCTGTGGATGTAAAGGGAGGTGATATCTGGAAGCTTTCCTATAATTCATAATGATCCTGTAAATACGTTTTTAAAAAATTAGCCTGGGAATCAATTTACTCGGTGCACTCTCCCTCCCCTCTGCATGGAGCCCACAGTTCCCATTACTCCTCTCATAAATTATCTCCCAGAGTGAATTACACTTGCTTTTCACCTTACCAGGACCGTTTGATGAATCCTAAGGCAAAACATATCATCTCAACAAATCTTCATCACTGTGCCAGTCTCCGTCTCTTTGCAGTTTAAGCCACTTCAAATCATTTTCATTGCCTTGCTATTAAAATTTGTAATTCACACCTGCCATTGCCGTGATACATAGTTACACAGAGCGCTCTTCCCTTGCTTCCGCGTGCTGCACGTCTCTTTCTCCCCCCCCCTCCTCCCTTGTCTTGTAAATCAAACACCTGAGGGTGACAGGTCATGCAGATTTCCCACAAGTCAGTAGGGTGCAAACATCCATCCAAAAGCGTGGCGCATTGCCGTCACGCGTGATGACATAATGACCACTTGGAAACTAATAAACAGCTTCATTCAAGCAAAGCTATTGCTCCTTTTCGTAAGTGTTACCATCCTCCCCCCTCACCACACACACTCTTCCCTTTTCCTATCTGTCACAAATTCATCCTCCTGTACCTCAGCTCCTCCTTGCCATGTAGCCACAGTTACCCATAAATCACATCTGTTGTTTAACGCTATCCATTTTCCCTGAAACACAGGGCGGCTGTTGCAGAAATTGGGTCAGGCATAATATGCGAGGCAGCAGAGCCCAGATAGTCATGATTTCTGCCAGGTAATGTAGCCATTAGCACACAGAGAACGAGAGAGAGAGCGGTTGGAGGGAGAGCAAGCGAGGGAGCAGACTGGTGGACAGGTCGCTCCCCTTTGTGGCCCACAGGATGTGACACCCAAGAAAAAGCTGGCAAATGGCACAATTTTATCACCCTTTCATCAACCACCAGACACCCGAGAGCCTAAACATGGGTTTGACAGAAGCTCAGTGTGTGTGATAAAGTCTGTGTGTGTGTGTTTTGTATTTGCATGAGTTGAATTGTTATAAAATATGAGATCCCTCTTTCCCCTCTTTTGTCTTTTGAGAAAGTTCTTGAAAATTCTAACAGAAAGGACGAGGACGCGCCGTCCAGGATGCAAAGCACGGCCTGTCCTGTAATCCATTACACAAATGGAGAATACAAGATGCAGCTCGATGACAAGAGTCTTGAACTTTTACAGCGTGCCTCCTTCTTAGGTTTCCCTCCCTGTACGAGAGCTGGTGCTTCTAAGAGCCATTGGAGGTAAGACTTCAAATGAGAGAAGATCCCACCCAGAGGCATGACTGGCTAATGGTAGTGAGCATCCTGTGTCTAGCCTGAAAATGTGCTTTATCTCCCACTGTGCATATTTCCCTGGTCATTTTTAATCTATAGCAATATGAGACAAATAAAATTTTAAAAAGGCTTTAAAAGTGAAAGTTGGTCATTTTGTGCCGCAGTTTTGATTTTGGAGCGGGAAGCAATATTATTACCCTTAGACAAATATCTCCAATGTGTCTCAGTTTATTATTATGTTTTCATTTTAAAATTACTTTCAGGACATTTCACCAAATGATTGCTGATGCTCTGAAACCAACAACTATGTACATGCCAGAGATTCTCACACAGAATCTTAATAATTTACTGTTTTTGGTTCCAAGAAGACAGAAAATAAACCACCTTAAATATAGAAATGAGAACTAAATTAAAAATCTCTCCCCCAAATTATCCCCCTAACTTCCCTTGGGTTTTTTTATTTTTTCATAATGTACCTTTTGGTCACCAGAAAAGTTGATTTTGTTGCTTTCTCATTTTAAAAAGCTCAAAAAGGCGTAACATCAAAATTCCGTATAATAAAACCAAGCAATCCCATTTGTCACTGAAATAGAAAAATTTATTGAATGTGTTTATAACCGAAGGTCTAAATTACAATAAAAAAAAAAAAAAACAATGATATATTTCCTCATATGGAAGAATTGTCTTTTCTTGTCCTTAGGTGAATAAAATCATCAGTTATAAATAAAAGTGTAAAAGCAGCTTCTTTCAAATCCATTCATCCAGGTTTTGTTTGAAGTCCCAAATCCAATATTGTAACAGTGAAAGATAATAAAAAATAAAAACGGTACAAATTTCTTGCTATCGTTATAAGCAATACACATGGTGTATTTTATATGTACGGGGGAAGCTCGGTTGCTTTCTCTTGTAAAGTACAGATTTTTTTCCCCCAACAAATAAAGTGATACAAGTAATATACATGGAGTTATGGAGACACGTATATAAAGTTTGGATTGTTTGAAATGCGTCTCTTTTTTTCAAGTGGACTGCAGTGGTAAACATAGAGAACAGTCTATCAGTATTCTATTTTGTTGTACAGGTTGTATAAAGGTAACGCTGGCAGGTTGCTCCCCGGGTAATACAGGGGCGTCGGGAAGGCGATGGACCGAGGGACGGGGACGCGCAGGAGGTTGTTATCTCTGAAAACCAGCGGCATCCCCACTAATGTCTGTGCGGAGGCGTGGGCCATGTTGGCCGCCTCCAGCTCGGCGGAGAGCTGCCGTTTCCACTTGTTTCTCCGGTTCTGAAACCACGTCTTGACCTGAGTCTCCGTCAGCTGCAGGCTGGACGCCAAGCAGGCCCGCTCCGAGCTGCTCAGGTAGCGCTTCATGTCGAAGGTGGACTCCAGCTGGTACACCTGGCTCCGGGAGAACACGGTGCGCGTCTTCTTCTTGGCCGAGTTGCCGTGCTTGTCCGCGCCGTCCGCCTGCCTCTCCTCCGATAGAGGGGACATCTGATGGCACGGTCTGTCCTGCTCCTTCTTGTAATCCTGCAGCAGAGGCTGGGACAGGTGCGGCCGCCGTGCGAGTCCGTCGCTCCCGGAGAGAAGACCTTTAGCCGCCGCACCTGATCGCGTCAAGAGAAGCGCATGATCAGAACCGTCCCTGAACTGTTCAACAGTCACTGAGAATGCGAATTACGTTTTTCTTTTTTTAGACACAAACTGAATGAGTTTGACTTAAACGAAATGAGTGGCAAACATGGTGACTTTTCTAAATAAACACATCAACGTCGAGTGTGCTTAGTGCGGCTACAGTAAGCTATTAATTAAATCCCGCTATATTTAACGCTCAATTGACGGCGTGTGTGTGGGTGTGTGTTTGTTTGTGTGTGTGTAGGGCCTGGTGCAGCCATTTTGGAAACATGCTTCATCAATTAGTGGGGCTCAATTAAATTTGAAATGAGAGGATTAGACACGGGGCTGTTTTGTGCGACCTTCCCACTCTCGCCGCTGCCTCTGAGCTCGTGCGCACACACACGGGTGGAAGTGAAAGGGCTGCACGCGAGTGTTACCGTGTTAGAATGTAAACTAATCAAGCCAACCAACACCAAATAATTTCATCGGAAATAATAACAATAATAATAATAGTAATAATAATAAATTTCTGACCTAAGCAGGAGAAGTTGTGGGCTTGGTGCTGCATGCATGGCTCGCTTTGACCCGTGTCGGAGCAGAAGCAGTCCGCTGAGTCCTCCCCTCCGCTGCACTCCTCCTCGGAGGACACCGACAGCGAGCGCCTCCTCGGCGGCGACGGCCCCTTGGACAGCTCCTTGGCTCCGGAGCGCGGCTCATCGGACGCCGTGCCCAAAATGGACTGGATGGTGAAGCTGGAGACGGGGCCGGACGAGCACTTGCTCCCGCTGTCGTCTGCGCTACTCATTCTCGCCTCATAACAGTAGCGAAGTATTGACTGAATCGGTTAGTCCCGTTGGATTCCGTGATTGCTTTCTGCACGACTGGCGCGTAAAAATTACCAAAAGCTTCTTTTGTCCGCCCCGCCGGTTTAATTGTGGCGTTTTAACACCGAAGGAGGTGGAGGTGTTTTTTCTAGAGCTCGGGGAACATGAGTGTATTCCCGGTCCTCCTCCTCACGCTCTGGATCTGAGGCAACAAAGTTGCGTTGCTTCATTTGCATGTAGGTAAGCTCCTACTGGGCCAATCGCAGCACCCAGTACGAGCCCGGAAATTTCAAACTCCTGTCAGGGTTTTGAGATGGGAAGTGGAGAGGGAGAGAGCGCACACATGCCCGAAATTGCATAGCCTATTTCACAACTTACGTGGAAGTGTAAAATGCAATATTGATGTGGTCAAATGTCTATTTATTTATTGCATGCATTGCATAATATATAAAGTTATTTTTATTAGAGTAAATAATACAATTGAAGCAAATAAATTATTGTCCATATATTTAGAATGGTTGAATATTAACAAAATAGGCTACATGTTTTTCAGTAAAAAAAAATTACTTTTTTTATTTTATTCTAGTGCATGTTTCAAAACGATGACAGTCATTTGTGGATAACCTGAATTAAAACCTTTTTTTTTTTTTTTGTATGCAAGCCAAATTGGCTGCCGTGACAGCCTTTGGAACTAAGACAAAGACCCAACTCATTTTCCCCCCTGAAAATAATAAACTCATTCCCCGTCCATTATCTACGATTAAGAATTAATTTGATCATTACTGAGCTAATCTGCCTCGTGATGACCGCGCGTGGAGTGGAGGTCGGTTAATTGATTGACTAATTGATTGAAGGTGGAGGGAGTCTGTGGGCGCGCGCAGGGTGCGCGCATCCCCACCTTCTGCGCGCGCGTGCACACAGGCACACACAGGTGTGTGCGCGTGCGTCTCTATTAGACTGTGTCTGTCTGACCGACTTTTTGCACCAAACAGATACGCAGCCGAAACAAGTCATTGCTTCAGGCCCCCAGGCCAGCAGGGGGCCCAGAAGAGCACTACCTCTCATACAGGATGCAGATCTCCAACCTTATCATTCGTACTAAGATTGATCAAGAATGAGCCTGACTTTAATTTTGCTGTGAATTTGAAGTGTAAAGTTACTCTTTAAATATTCACAATGCAAAATCTAGATTTATTTAGGTTTTAAAAACCTCGCAAATGTGCCAGTTGTGTTCGTACAGACAAAAATCATCTCAATTTCTACAGGTTTGTCGAAGTCACCATCTGCTGCAAATATTTTTTGTTTGTTTTTTATTGCTTAGTTCTGTAAAAAAAAAAAAAAAAAAAAAGTCTATGGTCAGCCTTTCATTGTCCTTCCAGTTTTGACACTTCTGGCTATTTAAGTTGGTCAGACAAAACTAAGAAACAATAGAAATACTATTTTATCTTTTGCTATACGTGTTTTAGAAATCTCAAACTGTTTTTAATGAGCAATCTATGTGCACTGCAGATTATGCACTTCAAGTTTGATCAAGCTGGGCATTTTCTATTTCAAACTGATCAAAGCATTAAAAAAAACAGTAAAATAACCATTTACTTTAGCACTCAATGTGATTCTGGCAATTAGAGTCAACGACAGCTTCATTTATATGCTTGTCCTGCCCCAGCAACACAAAAAAAATCACCCTGGGCAGTGAACTTACTGCTAATATTAGAAAATTCAATTTGTATGTCTTTAAGAAAAACTGTTGCATTCAGGTTGAATACATTCAATGGTAGATTGGATGTCTGTGGACACTTCAGACATTTGACATTCCCAAAATCAGTCCAGATGAGCACAAACAAAAGGAAAACTTCAAAAAGTGATGCTGGCACCAAGTAGTGATCAGACATTTGTGGCCCGGGTTGCCCTGCACACAACACAGAGAGACGCTATAGCTGATGAAACACACAAATCAGAAGAGACAGATTTGATCGGGTAGAATGGAGCCCTGGGCAGTGGGCCCATGTTGCCCGTATCAAAAATAACTAAGCGATGTGGTCAATTTGATTGCTGGCAAAAATCGCGAAACCAGAAGTGTTAAACACCCAGCAGAACACAATTAATGGCGCTACGGTGGCTGCCTGGCGCGGTAATAACCGTAAGTCATCCGCTTTGGTCCCCATACAATCCGGTGCCGACTCTGGCTGTCAGCGATCTTCTTCGCACCAACACAACCGGTATGTTGTTTGGATGGACAGCCTGTGAAAAGAAAAGAAAAAAACTGAAAAGAAGCTGGGTTAATTATGCAGGTGAGGTGACGCTGCTGATGCTGACATCAGATCCTGCCGTCGTCAGTGGCATCTGGAGCCGTGCGTAAATATTCTGAAGTGGCAGCAATGCCAGCAGCTGCTAAACGGTCCCGCTGAAACTCAGGGAGGAGATTAGGGGGGTGAAGGGGTTGCGGAATTATACGAGGGCAGTGGAGGCGGATGCTGGATTTATGGTGGTAACACATAAGGCGTGAAATCTGCAATTACACTTAAATGGGTTTATTATTTTTTTTCAGACGACTTTAACAAAATATCGGTGACGGTGGACACGACGCGTTGCCGTAGTGTTAAAACAAAAAGAATAAAAAACGCATTCCACCTTGACGGGGAAGCTGACGTTTACAGGTCAGTAGCGGCAAAAGGCGAGCTGCGGCTGTTTTCTGGTTTTGTGTCAACCACAGTCCCCTCCCTGCGCGTGTTCAGGCCCCGGCAGCAGAGGAGCGCGCCTTGAGTTCGCGCTCCATCACGATGATAGGTGGCGCGCGGCCGGCCTACCACAACAACTGAACAAGATCTTTAGCAGGAGAGAAAGCTCTGAGAAAGACAGATGAAGTTATGAGGCGCTTTGATCTGGGAATCAAGCTCCGATAAATATTAAACAAAGAGCCTTTACACGTGTGTATTATGATATATGGCGTGTCCAAGTCTAGAATAAGGAAATTACCAGAGAAAATGATATCAATAAATTTTCTAAGTATAAACGTTGATTATGTTTCGATTTTCATTCAAGAAAGCGGTGGCTGCTCCTTTTTTTCCCCCCTCTCCTCTGTGCGCGACTTTCTTGCGTGCGTGTGAATGAAGGAGAGAGAGAGAGAGAGAAAGAGAGAGAGAGAGAGAGAGAGAGAGAGAAAGAGAGAGAGAGAGAGAGTTGTAAATGCAAGCAGAGCAGCCGAGCCCTGAAGGTGTACAATTTATGTAATCTGAGTGTGGAAATGAACTGGGTAATTTATTGGAAAACACAAAGTCAGGAAGATTGGATCAGCCACAGCCTATCCAAGGGCTCCTATCCATCAAGTTCCAATTAACAACCCAACCATTGAGTTTTAATGGCTTTCCAATCTACTGCCCTGATAGACTCATCAATTCCTCGGGGAGAAATTAAGAAAATCGACCGCCCCCTCGGCGTTCTGGTGTCATTCTTCACAGCAACTATATGTCAAATTAAAAACACAATTAAAATTTAAACTGTTCCAATCAGACGCTGCTCTGCAACCTATGTTTCACTTAATAGAACTTTGATGAAAATCTGATGCCCGCGTTCAATCAGGAAAGCAAATGGCGTCGGTAGAAAAACAAGATTTCCTCTTCAGACGCGTGATGTGTGACGCGGGAGCGCGAGGCGAGGGCATCACCTTTGCATGGTCTCTGATTATTGATTGGCATTTATCTGTTGCTTGATACTCTGCATTCAATTGTTTTCTTTCACATTCAATTGTTTTCTTTCACATTCGAGTTTGGCCGGTTTGCCCAAGCATGTTTAATGATAAAGTTACAGAAACTCAGAAGATCAGCAGCATCAGCTTTCTCATTTAAATTAAAAAATAAGAAAATTTTCTTTAAGATTGGAGAGAATAAGCTTCAAGAGGCAGCAACATTTACTCCTTCAGTCAAATTATAACTCCAAAGGAGGTCAACAACATATTCTACATATTGTTGAAATCAAACGTTCACTGTCGCCACATGCTTTCTCACCAGAAGGGATTGCTGCAAGACCTCAGCAACCGAATGATCTGCCTTAAATGGACAACTTTGCATCATTTAGCATTATGAATTAAATAAACTGAACGTTTGTCAAGTGTTTTAATTAAGGTGGCATTTGCTGTGAACTGGCTTCATTGAAATAATCTAAATCAATTGACTACATAGCATGTCTGTCGGAAACACAAACCAATCTCTTGGGTCTTGACTGTCTATAGGGGACATGCGCCATTTAAATGTGAGTTTGTATATCTGTGGACAATTCATTAGTACATTTGATCATAAAATGATCCAATTTATCCTCACCTGTTATGTTTGTAAAGATCTCTTTGATATTTAGTCCAATGCTTCACCAAAGTTCACTTCAATACATCCACTGTTAGGGACTGTATCTTGAAAACACAGATATAGAAAACACAGCTGAAAATGACATTGCTAAAGTCAGTGGTCCCCAAGGATTTTCGACCAAACTATCTTTGTAGTGAAACACTTTTGTGTAACTGATTTTGTTGTTGTTGTTTTTTCATCCATACCGTTTCCCCGTCCCCCTGTAATGGCAATGCGACCCCCTAGGGAGCGCGCCCCACACTTTGGGAACCACTGGCTTAAGTAATTTTATGGTCCATAAGATGAACAAAGTAACTAATGTTTTTTTGTTTGTCTGTCTTTGGATATAATGAAAAAACAGCAACACTGAGACAATAAAGCTTCAAAGCACATTCATATGAAGCATGGCCTGTATTACATTGGACATTTACAGTTAAACCCTGACAGAAAGACGTAATTTTACATTTTCTAAATCACATTAGAAAATGTAAGGTCACATGAATGTGATGACCATGTGAAGCATGACATTAAAATTGTATGTTGAATAATGTAAAACGCTTTGCACAAGGAAAAAATGATTTGGGACATTTTGATGGTGTACATGTGAAAGACATGTGTGCTGACATGTGAAACCTTTGTGATGTACTACCCAGCAGATACCCATAAACTTAATACTTGTGATCCCACCGTGAAACTTGTAAATCACATTTGGCATCCAGGTGATACCTCTAAACTTTATGTGATGCCCATCTGGAATGACAAACTTCATGGGTTTTATGTAAAGACCATGCGGAACCAGAAAAACTCATGTGATGTACAAGTAAATCTTCAAAATTATGCACGATGCAGACGTGAAAGTTATAAATTTCACATGATTCCCACACGAAGCCTTTA